CTTACACAGATCTATAGGAAGAAGAGAGTCTAATTAATGGATACTAAAGCTCTCTCAACCTCAAAAATAGGAACAGTTAAAATGTATCTTTTTTCTCAGGAATGTTGAAGTTTTTTAAAAAAAGAATCTTCATTTTCAAAATGGGCATGCCTTCAGAGATTTAAGTAGATATTTGATTCAATATTATGTTATGTTACTGATCTCGTAGAGAAAGGTTTAAAATAGAAACAACTAAAACACCAAAAAAGAATAAAAGGAAACCCACACTTCAATGATTTAAATATGTTTTAAATTATAGGATAAAATCACCAACTCGTGGTTCCCAGCCAAAAAGATTAAGTAGATCCAGATGTCACAGATATGAATCCAAACGTTTGCATCACATCTTAAAAAACAATCGTTATTTAATCTTGCAAAGGTACGGTGAAGCATCAGTGGCCTAATGTATCACGGAGAAAGAGATGCTAGTTTTATACAGAGAGATGGTGGTGAAACATATCCAAGAACTATCTTGAATTTGTATTGACTCTCCCCCAAAGCTTAATGTTTTCAGCTCATTGAGCAGATTTTCTGAGTACAAACCTTTTTTTCCCTGGCATAAAGATTTCTTATGAGAGTTTACAATTATTAGATGGCAAAGAGTAGTAATGATAAAAATGGAATATACCAATGATCTTAAGTGGGTGTTAGTGCAGTGCTTAACCCAACTCCAGCTCATTCCCTAGCAGGACCCCCTTTAAAACATGAAGGTGTCCCTGCCCTGGTCATTTGGATTTTTCTCCAATATCGGTGCCATCTGTCTGTAACATCTGTCATCCCATTGATTACCAAAGTTAATTTGGATCATATGGGTTGTTTTTTTATCTCTTGGATATTTCTGACTACCTGTCTCTTTTCTCACTGAAAGAGGTGTAACTCTACATGGATGAAATTTATGGAAACCATATTTTCCAAGCCTAAAATTAGAATATTCATAGTCTGTGTAGTACGTCTATACTTAAGCATATGAGGCATAACCTTTGAACATTCTGAAGTATCTAGGGTGGGTGGTCCTTAACCTGAAGAAGACCACCAGTAAATATTACATGTCTTCCTAGCACTTTCAGGTCCAGTGTATCCTACCCTTAAGCAGTTGTTACATTTTAATGAGCAGTTGAGAATTTAAAAGGTATTCATAATTTATGAGGCTTTTGAAATTGTGGTTTTTTAATATTCATGTTATTACAACATTTATATTATCAAAAGTCTTTATATAAGCACAGAGATCTAGCATTCTCAATTGGTGTCACCATCAATAGTCACTGGAGACTGTGCAGAACCCCTGGGCCTTGGACACAGAAGAATCTGATGTCAGAATGCAGAGTGGAACACAGCACTGGTCTCCTGGCTTGGGGCTGCTCATTAAAGTCCTATCTGAGATGGGATGGAGTGTTACTGCTGGGTCCTGTTTTAGTAAGAGCCTGCCTTGTAGCTCAGTCTCTCTATTTGAAAGCCTTAACTAGAAGCCACATTAAATGAACAGTGGATGCTGGATCTCCTCAGGGAGCAGTAGGCCATATCCTGCAATCAGCCTGACCCACAGACATGAGATCCCATAGCCAAGGCTCCCAGGAGCTGTTATGTCCAGCCCCATCTTTACAGTACAGGGGTAGATACAGGAAGACGCTGCACCATGATAGAGGTCAACCCACTGCTAGACAAAAACAAGACAAGGTTAGAAAGTCCAGATAAGGGTGGATCCAGAGAGACAAAGGCTGGGTCTGTCAAGCAATTAGTGTCCTGTGCAATGCCCATCAACACAATGGCTAGGCAACATTTCTGGAAGACATACAAGGGTACTTCAAAAAGTTTATGTAAATTAGAATGAATAACATGAATCTACGAACTTTTTTCAAATATTCTTGTATAATTCTGGGAAAGTAGACTTTGAAATTTTTTTAGAATAGTTTCCTTTATCATGCATTTTTTCTTACAACCTTTTGTAATATTATACAAGCTTAGTCATACCTTAATATTCATCTCATTAACTAGCACTATTAAAGCAGGAGTTGCATTAAGTAGAATCAGAATTTGGTATCTCATTGGAAAGAAGGACCAAACTAGAAAACGGGATCAGTCTGCTCCAATAACATCTAAAAGAAGATTTAACAATAGTGAAATGTGAACAGTCCTGTTATAAATTTACCATGCTATAAATGTAATTCCACAAAGGTAGAATTTTGGGGTAAAACTGGTATATTTAAAATCCAAGTAACTAGATTAAAATAAAAATAAGCCATTTGAAAGCCAAAGCTAGGTTAAATTTGGAAGCAATCAGAAAAATCTGCTTAGATTGGGGACACTGGTATATTTAAAATCCAAGTAACTAGATTAAAATAAAAATAAGCCACTTGAAAGCCAAAGCTAGGTTAAATTTGGAAGCAATCAGAAAAATCTGCTTAGATTGGGGACAGAAAGCATAGTTTCTCTGTAACTCCAAATTATAGAACACACACTGAGCAAGAATGATTAAACTCTAGAAAATAAACCAATGTATGTTTGCAATCTTTATTTTACTAGGCACATGTAAAGGTTATTTGTAAGGCATCGTGCCATGCCTCAATGATTCTAGTGCTTTTAAATACAGACAGGCCCAACTTATGATCTTTTGACTTTACAATGTGTTTATTGGGAAGTAGCCCCATTGTAAACTGAGGAGAACCTGTATTGTCTTGCACTTATTCGATGTGTAATAAATATTTGTAACCTAAAAAAACCCACAAAATTTGGCATTTGAGGAAAAAAATCACATGAGTTGTATGATCACACATTTCTCCCTGAATGTTTGAAATGGCTCTGACTTTTCCTCTATCAGCCTGCGGGTACATGCATCATGGATTCAAGGAGCAGGTATTTTCTCAACTTTCAGAAGAGAGAGAAATTAAAGTGATTCTCCATTACCCCACCCCAAGCAGGAGTAATTATTACCTCCAGAACACAACTGCTCTTCCCCGAGCTGGCAGCCAGAGTGCACGAATAGCTACAAAACTTTCTGCTGAGTGGGATGTGGGAAAACGAGACAGCAGGAATATGGAGGCTGTCATTTCACTCCTTGAGGAGTAAAGTCTGAGATCCACGGGAAGTTGAAGAGTACTCTCAGAGCCTAATTCTCATGCTCCAGAAGAGAAATACATCTCTGGATCATCTGAAGCAAAGTCTTTCATTAGCTTATCACAACCCAGCAGGCTTGTCCTAGGTTGGAAAACCAGCATTTGCATCCGCGTTATTGGTGACTGGCAAATCTAAACCTTAACATGCTTTGCATCATCAACACCTGAACTACAAGTTATAGGTAAACTTAAGAACTTCTTTTACTTTATTTATTTGCCTGGAAGCAGAAGGGTTCTGATGCTGTTTAAGAAGTATACATATATATCTTAGTATCCAAAATCATCTACCAAATGGAAATTTCATTTGTGACTTCAAGCAGATGGAGACACCCCCAGCTCCACCCGCCTACTGAATTTGCTCCATTGGGAAAACATGCGATGTGGTAGGAGTTCCAAATTGCCACCACCACTTGAAAGGGTCTCAAATGCAAAATGAAACCTCTTTGCAAGCTATTATCTGTTTCGGTGTTCAATTGGGGGGAAATGAGCATTCAGCCCTCAACGCCTCCTCCTTCTCTTTCTCCCCAGCCTCCATCTGCCTTCCTTTGTATCAGTTGATGGGACGTGTCACCAGGGTATCTAGGTTCTCTGTAGCATGGAGTAGGTGGACATGCTTTCAAGGACTGAGAAGGCTTGCCTGTCCTCGGCTTCCTTTCTGATTTGAGGAGGAAGAATGGCTCCATTGTCAGTGACTCCAACAAATAGAGCAGAAATAATACCCAGGCAGGCAAGAGATGAGCAGTCAGCCCCTTCAGGACAGGATAAACCATCTAAGACTGGGAGTCAGATACAAAGGGGACCCTATGGCATTCACGTGTCCTTCTGGCATCACAGGTTCTTTAAACTTTTCATTTTGGGGTAATTGTAGGTTTGCATGCACTTGTAAGAAATAATGCAGAAAGATGACCCCTTTATCATTTACCTAGATTTCCCCAATAGTAACATCTTGCAAGACAATAGGACAATATCACAACCAAGAGATTGACATTGATATAATACAACAACATGTGTTGTGATTTGCAAATCGAATTAACCCTTTGAAAAAGTAGCAAATCCATAACAATGCCTCAGGCTGGACAAATGGTCTTAAGATGACATTTTGTGCATTTACGAGCAGGCTGCTTTGACTGAGGGAGGTGTGGCAGGCACTTGTAAGTCATTGACTCATGGGGTCTTAGAGCTGATCAAAGTTGTCTCTCACTAACAGCACTTACTACAGAGGAGGAACTTCTTCGCATTTTTTTTCAGTCTAGGATTTCCTAAAATTAAGATGATAGAGTGTGCAGAGGGGTATATACCAATCATCAATATGCAGAACTGATAGATGAAGCTTCTGAACTGGAAAGCCTGAGAAGAAACTAAAACAGTCGCTGCATAGTGGGTTACGTAGAGGATTAGGAAGGACAGGGTGGATAGCATTGCGCTGATGTGGGCACGCCTGCTAGTGTCGCTGATACCCGCTGCTGTCTTTCTCATCTGCCGGGTGTGTCTCCCAAGGGAAAAAATCAAGAGCAAGGCAGCAGTAACAAAAATTAGTAGTGGCAATATGAACCCAATGGCAAAAAAGAAAACCTGTAAAGCAAAATTGTTTTTGATTTGAGATGTTGCATTTTTGAAGAAAAAGCTTACCATGAGGTTTTGCGGAATATACTGCACATATTTGCTATAGGAAACAAACAGGAGAGATGAATACAGCAGAGACCCCAGGATCAGCCGCGGCACCAACTTGGATATCCTCACCTTCAACCAGAAGAAGAGTGGATGAGGGATGGTGGCAATCTTGGCACAGTAGAAAACGCTGAGCCACGTTGCAAACCAAAGTCCTGATTCGCTGACAAACCAATGAATTGAAAAATGCTTAAGAAGTGCAGAAAATTTTATCAAATGGAGAGCAACCAGATTAATGTAGAAGATGGCCAACTGTATAAAAATCCTAGAAATTGCCAGGCAGGAAAGGAGGAGATCAAGTGCACCCATTTTTCTCTGCTTGATAAAGTCAATTCCATTTGCCACCACAATGATGCCATTTGCAAAAATCCCAAGAAGACAGTGTATCACTGCCAAAATGAGATGGATAATGACGTGTAACTGTAGCATTTTAAGAAAAAAAAAATCACCTAATTTAAAAATGATGCAGTTATAGATTCTGGGGGGACAGTTTGGATTATTCATACATTTTGCTTTTCTTCATAGATCAGGACCTTTTTGGGGAACATTCCTCTCACAGTGAAGGCAACAGGGTAGGAGTGGTATTCATCTTTTTATAGCACTGCTTTCTCAATTTAGTTCTGAGACAGTCAAATGAGAAAGAGATACTGCGGCAAACATTTGCTTCTTAGTGATGGCTTTTGCATTTTCTAGGTCAACCTAGCTCTCAAAGTCATTGCAAGCAAATGTGGAATCAGACACCTTCAGATGGCTGGGACTTTGAAAGTCTCCTCTACTAGGTAATCAGCCAAATCTACTCAATCTTTCAATTCATCTTTTTATAGCACTGCTTTCTCAATTTAGTTCTGAGACAGTCAAATGAGAAAGAGATACTGTGGCAAACATTTGCTTCTTAGTGATGGCTTTTGCATTTTCTAGGTCAACCTAGCTCTCAAAGTCATTGCAAGCAAATGTGGAATCAGACACCTTCTGATGGCTGGGACTTTGAAAGTCTCCTCTACTAGGTAATCAGCCAAATCTACTCAATCTTTCATCTCTATGGTAAAGAGTTCACTGTGCCTATAGGAGTGATTCTGCTTAAGGTTACTGAGGCATTCTTTAAAAATTTATTTTTTAGAAATTCTCATTTCTACTATAATGATGTGGTACAACCAGCAATTAAGACTCCTAAGTATTAACTCTGTAATATGCAGTGGTTGAGCAACTCAGGAGCATATAATAGCTATATAATAAAATTTATAGCTATATAATAAAATATACGTGATAAAACACAAAGTGTTACAAAATATAAAGGCACATGCATGTAAGTTGACTTACACGTATGTGTATACATTAGCTCCAAAGCCTAAAGGAAGGTAACGTGTAACAAAATGAACAGAATCACAGCACCATTCACACCAGTAATCACTTGCAGGATACTTCATGGGTCAAAACCTTTTCCCTATTATTTTTCTAAAATGGGGAGAATTTTATGGCATGAACTGGTTGCGCTAGGGGAAAAGTAAAGATAAAGAAAGTACCTGATTCAATTTGTCACCATAACTGTCTCCTGGACTATTTATGGGAAAAATTAAATTAGCATTTATGAACATGTATACTGTGCTGTGTGTTAGGCTAAACCAGGTTTTCCCAACCTCAACACTATTGACATTTTGGTCAGGATAATTCTTTGTTTTTTTGTTTTGTTTTGTTTGGAGGGGGGATCTATACTGTGCTATGTAGGATGTTTATGACACACCTGACCTTTATCCACTAGATACCATTAAAACACCCGCCTCCCCAGGCTGTGGCAACCAAAATAGTTTTCAGACTTTGCAAAATGTCCTGGGTGGCACAATCACCCCCAGTTAAAAACCACTGTCCTAGGGCCGGCCCGGTGGTGCACTGGATAGTGCGCCGCTTGGGAAGCGCGGCGGCGCTCCCGCCCGAGGGTTCGGATCCCACATACAGACCGGTTCCCGCTCACTGGCTGAGCGAGGCGCGGGAGCAAC